GAGGGGTCGATGGGTCGTCGCTGTGTCTGAACCAGTCGGGCAGTCGATCTATTGTCGGCGCGGGGGCCAGACGGTCCCCGGTGGGAGAAACTCCGGCGGAATGTTGGCGATGCCCTTGACGGCGGGCGGATGTTGAGCCTTGAAGGATCCGCCGTCCTGGAGTTCTCCCAGCGGGCAGCATGTCGCGGATCTGACGACTCCGCCTCCTGGATTGCCCAGAAGAGGAGCCCCACATCCTCGCAGCCGTCGTCTCCGATGAAGCGCGCCCGCTCGACGAAGTTCGCGTGGTGGAGGATGTGGAGGTGGATCTCCCTCCACTCGTCGCGGTCGGGGAAGCGTTCCAGCACCACTCGTCACATCTCGCAGCGAGCCTCCGGCGAGTGCAGGTCGATCTCGGGCAGCGGCACCGGTGCAGGGGGTGGAAGAGCCCGCGGCTCCGCTACCCATGCCACCGGCGCAAGTCGACGCACCCGCACGCCGCGGCGACGCGCTTCAGCCATGTGGTTTCTCAGATGGGGATTTGGAACGGGGAGAGCTCGGTGAGATGCGAGTGTGGGTGGGAAGCTGGGGGTTGGGCTTTAATGGCGGCTTCGTTGCTTCGCGCGAGGGCGAGGGAAGGGGCGGGAGGAAGAGCGAGACACCATTTTCGGCTCGGTCACTATAATAGTTCCCACCCCTTGAGTGTTTGATCCTACAAGTACATGTACATATATGGTCATGCCCAAGATTACTTTCACGTCAATAATCGACACCGGACCCGGGCAAATATTTAAGAAGCTATTTTATCTATCATTTCCCTTTATCTAATCCTTTTTCCTCACGATATTTCAAGCTCGAGACGAGGTACTCATCCATGTTCCACCTCTTTCTCGGTACTTGCATCAAAGTCTTCCAAATATGATTAACTCTTTAATCATAAGCATGGCCATGCAGTTCCAGAAATGGGACACTCAAGAAGGCTGTTTGTGTTTTTTTTTCATTGATCCTGTTTTTCAAAATGAAATATCTTGTGTGTCCAAATCACAAATCGTTTTATTACTGAATTTCAGATACCATTGACAGGCCTCAATGAAATCTTTTTATGGTGAAATTTCTTCCAAAATGAAAATAGGTCATGCTCTCACATGAATTAACTTGTGCTACCTCATTGATGAACCAATATTGCACTAACCTATGTTCCCAATATTACTAATCTACACCCCTAGTTCCTAAATATATGTCCTTCTAGAGATTAGTACATACAGAAACCTACAGGATTATTGTTTGTTTGATTGCATCATAGGAAAAACGTACAAATTCTTTTAGAGGTTTGACTGGGTGTCAAAAATCCTAGCAAGTAGAAAAAACAAACTTCTATGGGATTCGATCCCATGAATCAAACTCCAAAGTTCCTATGAACATCCTTTGGTGTACTAAGCAGAATGAGATTTGCTTTGCTGTAACGACCATGGCACTTAACACTCAAGGATGTGCCGATTTACAAAGAAATCTGAATTAGGTCGACCAAATACTTAAGAAAATGGGGAAGCCATAGAGGATACATGGAACAGGCAGAACATATCAAAACAATGCATTGTTAAAGCACCAAAATTGGATAGCAAAGGTATGGTTCACCAGTAAATCAACCAGCAACCAGGGGCTGAATTACATATCAAAACATTGTCTTGCCAGCGTTTCACAACTCAGCTAAATAAAGGCTAAAACATCATTGACTCTAGTTTCCTGGCCAAGGATAGATACTGCAGACACAAGATGCCCCACGACTTAGTCGAACAGACTGAAGCCCATGTCCTGCAAGTAGAAGCAGACGCACAAACAGTTAGTACATTATCTTAAAAAATGAATGAAAACAACATCAAAACAAGAACACTATCAGGTTCATAATCTGCAAGGCCAGTTATTATACAGATGATACAAGTTCGTAACAAGGGGACAGGTGGGAATAGTGATCTTACATCATCACTCTCTTCCTTCTCCACGACCTTCTCTTCTTTCTTTGACTCAGCTGCAGGAGCAGCAGCACCACCAGCAGCAGGAGCAGCGGCTGAAACAGCCACACCACCACCACCACCAGATGGTACCGCAGCAAACTTCTCCCTACCAGCAGCCAAGAGCTCAGTGATGTCCTTGCCCTTCACTTGGGACAGCATGAGTTCCATCTTCTCATTGTCGATTTCACAACCAACTGCAACAGTGTAACGGTAAGATTACAAGCTAACACTAGAAAACAAAGAAGAACAACACATTACATACCAGTGACCGTTACTAAACATACAATCTCCCATCTGTCAGAACTAAGCACATTCTACCCTATATCAGTACAACTTAAGCCATAGAGGTTGCTTTCATTGGTAAGACACATTTCAGGTGTAGGTAACTATTGCTAAACATTACATAATGATAATAACAAATAGTAGCATAAAATGTAGGAACCACAGATGTCTTTTGCAGTAGAAGAAAACAGTAGGACGAAAACTAATGTAGGCCGCCCAGTAAGACAAAATTACCTGACTCAAGAATGGATGTCAGGTCCTCTGCAGAGGGGCTGGCGTTGCCAGAGAGGTAAGCAAGCAGATAGGCAGCGATGAACTTCATCCTGGACAGATAGCAAAGGAACAAAATAAGCCTGTGTGACCTCAACATTACAGCCAACTAAATTCGAAAAGTCACAATCAACGAAGCATCAGTTATGAATGCAAACTATTAACCTACATCAAATCTCATTAGCTTTTCTTACAAATCAAGACAAATAAGGGCATTTAAGTGCAACAATAATAGATGATAAATTCCTTTTACGAGGACAAAGAAAGTTATCTACATTCCAGTAAGAACCACGTAGTACATACATATTTCTATGGCAGTGAAATCTTAGCATCGCATTCATTCATTTTTGGATCTACGAAACCGACTAGCTAACTTGCAACTATACCGAGATGTTTTACTGAAACCAGAGAATCGTGACAAGGTGCACCTACAAAGCTGTCAGCAACAAGAACAACCCCGGACACGCAAGCAAAAAATGTGACTTCCTAGCACATGGCCCAACTAAAATCCCATTTCTTCAACATCTAATGGAGTGCAGCATACGAACAACACTATGCAGTAAGAAGATCATATCGACGGACGGAAGTACAGAAGCGCAAGGGAATGAACGACACGTTACTTGAATCGGTGAAGGAAGGAGAGAGCTGAAGGCGCGGCGGCGGCGGAGGGCTCGAGCGATCTGCTAGGGTTTCTGCGAGTAAGGGGCTCCGTGGCTGCGGCGGGGTTGCATATTTATATAGACCAAGGCCAGGTCGCACTGCGATCTGAGCCGTCCGTGTGCCATTTAGTTCCTGCCCTAGCTCCCGCCCTGGCGTTCCAGCCGTTGATCCCAGCCGATCGACGCCCCCGGTAAAGGAGTAGTAATGGGCTTTGTGTGCTGCTTACCTCGTCGACTAAAATATTCGGCCCAGTTGCAACTTTTATAGAGGCTTTTGAGTCGTTTACTAGGCCCAGCAACCGTTACTCTGTGTTTCAACGAGAAAGCCCACGAGTGTTACTGAGGCATAAACCCCCTGTTCCTCTTGTTTCCTCCCCGTCGGCCTCCGGCGCAGTTGGTTGCCACGACGAGGGGCGGACCCACCCATCGGACGAGGTCCGGCGCCGGACATTCCAGCCGGTGGTGAGCCGACGGCGGCAAGGCGGTGAGTGTCCTCTCCAATTTCCCCTGGTTTGGCTGAGATGATTTGCCCCAATTTGGGACATGTGTGTTCGTGCACGTGAGGTGTTTGATGGAATGGTGGCTGTGGGTGCTGATTGGTCTGTGCAGTGGGAGCTCGCGGCGACGTACAAGGCTGGGTGAGAGTGCGCTTGAGTCAGGGTGCTTGAGGTGGACGGCCAACTCCGACAGCGGGCCCCTCTGCCGACGACGCCACCGTCTCTGATCTATTTCACCGGCAACCGCTGGAGCTGGTAGGCATATCTGCTGCTTCGCTTCCCTTCCCGCAGAGTGAAACAAGCCTAACTGTTCCTTTTTCCTCTTGGTTGGCTGCAGGAAGTTGGTCAGCATTAGCTGCTTCAGGCTTCTGGCCGGTGTGAAAAGTTGCTAGGTCACCATGGATGGTATGCGCGTACTGCCTCTCCCACCCATTGATTTATGTTGTCGTTACTCGCCGTGCATAACTCGTGTCAGTTTTAGTGGTGGATCGTGGTTTAATACGAATGAGCATTTAGTAATATGTTTAGTAGACCTGGGATGATTCCTTGATTGGCCCCCTTGTGGCATTGTGTTTATCTTCGAGGTGAGCCTAGTTGATCTTGAAGGTAGGAACCACAAATCCAGGGACGTTGATGTTACAGCTGCATCCTAGTAACGCTTCACAACGAGAAAAGAAGAGGGAACTGCGTCCACATTTTGTCTCAGCACATTGAATTGCGTTTTTCATTTCTAGAAACAATAATAAATGGAAAGATTGAAAAAAGCTGTCAGTAATAAAAGGATGCACTTGCGCTTATTTGTGCGAGAATTAGATTCTAATTTCTTCAGTTTGCTACTGCTCGTGCTCCTGCCTTTTTTCATTTTCTTCTTTTGTGGGGAATGCCTATTTTTGTCAATAGTCGATCGACAAGAAACGATGGAAGAGACTATTCTCGTCGGTGATGATCTTATGCGTGGGCCACCTTCCCCTGTCGTACCGAAAGAGATTGCATCCCATGTCCTTGAAGGTGTTGAGCTCTGTGATGGTATCCTGAAGAATCTTTTCCTATGTGAGTAACTGTTTACTCTGACATCTCTATATGTTTGTCGTTTTCCATATGTAAATAAGTATGGATAAAATGAATCCTATTTCTGCTGTCCAGGCTTGCAAATCAATGATATTGAGCCATTTTGTCAAGGCGAAATTGTACTATACAAACAATACGCTGAGAAAAGGGTCAGTTATATTAAAACTATTTGGGGCTGCAGCTTCATTCCTTTTCCTGTTTAACCAATTGTGCCATTTTCTGACTTATTTTTCCAGGATAAGGAAATAAGGGAACGACTGCAGGATAGTGAATATAAATTGGGTTTCTCGATGCCCCTCGAAGATGCAAAGGAAAGAGTCACTCAACTCCAATCAGAACTCACACTGCTCGAAAGGTAGCCTTATGTGACGCCCGGGTAATTAAGCTACAGTAATCCCCACTAATGATGCCACATCACCTCGGTTACTGTTGACGAATCTCGCGTTAGTTCAAATCCGATTCAAAATTCAAATTCAAAATAAAGTCAAAAAATAAAAGTTTTCAAATATTAAAACTAAAGTGTTCGGGTGGTTCCAACTAATTCATAAGTAATTATGGTGGAGGAACCACACTTTTATAAAACGCATAAATACTCTAAATGTTTTGAATAGTAGCAAAACAATTAGTTGAATTCCTTTTACAATAAATAAAATATTAAACTATTTTACTTAGTTACCCAAATTAATGTGGCAGTAGTATGTATTAGCAATACCAATTTAGGAACCATTGGTGTATTTTGTAAAAACTAAAATAAAAGAAAACTAGTCATAAAACAGAAAAGAAAAGTAAAAGGAAAAAAGTAAAAAACAAAAGAAAAGAAGAGAGAGACCCCCCCCCCGCTGGGCCACGGCCCAGCAGGCCATCGGGCCGCCAGGCCGGCCCAGCCGCACCCCACCCCCTCCTCCTTATCCCACCAGGGGAAAACCCTAATCCCCCACACCCCCCCACGTCGTCCACGCCCCC